ATCGCTGATTACTGTGTAACAAAAACCCCAAAATAAGTGCTGCGCATAGCTGAGGCCTGGCTGTTGCTAAAAAGGACTTTTAAATGCTAACTTTAATGAAGAGGTTCATTAAAAAATCACAGAATCATAAAGACCAGTCTTTGAGTCACTTAGTATTAGACATGGTAATTATTTTAACATTACTTTATCTTTTTAATATTGTTTTCCAGGACAGGATAAACATGGTGTATTTCAGAGAAGGAGTAACCATTTTCTATGTTCTGATTAGCACCATGCCCTGAACTTTTCAAAATAACATTACGATGATAAAGAACACACATGAAGTTTTCTATACCGAGCTATACTTGGTGTGCAAGTTCTAAGGATCTTCAGTTGCTTAGAAGGCTAAATTATTTACCATACATAACATTAAATATTTTCTTTTGTTCTGGGAAAATGTATTGAGTTATACCGTCCAAAACAATCTAATAGCTGTACCATAAATGCTGGGCACCTTCTAGCCCGCACTGCAGGAACACAGATGTCTTTTACAGCTAATTTAACTGGAAACTGTGAACAGTTAGCATACTATAAGCTCTCTAGCCGCTTTCTCTCTCTTTCTCAAACTATAGCAAGGCAGAATGAACAGGCTTAAGTTGCTGCCAAGGAAGTTGTGTGAATCACACAGTTCCTGAAAGCACACAATTAAACTGTTTAAAGCTCCATTTTAAATGCTACTTGCAAGAGACAAGAATCTCTGCAGTGTTATGGAAGGCATCGAATCTTCCTGTGAAAGCACTATTCACAATTATGTATGTATCTGGTAATTAAATGAGACCATCTTAGCCACTAATATACAAAACATAGCTTGTTGCGAGACATTCACTTTAATCAGATGTCTGCGTCCTGTTTGAATTTACTGGAAAACCAGTTGGCAACCAAAGTGGAAAATGGACACATGGTTTTCTCCAGTACTTTGCAAACAGAAATACTGAAGGATTTAACTGTTTTTATTGAGCCTCACACTCATAAAGATACTTTAAGGGGAAAAAAAGAAACCCACAATGTCCCTGGCTAGAGTAAACTGTTCCTCTTCTTCTGAAAGAGAGAAAACCAAAGTTGGGTGGAAGATAAAGTTGTAATGCTGGGAAGGAAAATCCATTTCCATCACCAACACAAGTAATTATATTTTAGGACACAAAGAAGACCCTATTCCCTTCACTTAAGTCCATTATAGACTTTGGAATTATTACAATGATATTGAGCTTCTTCTCCATATTTGCCATAACACATGGCAACCTATAAAAAGGAGTATGTCACACGCAGAACTCAGCTAGACTTACTGCTATTAGTGACCTATTAACTGTTTGACTATCAGGAGAACTGAACTGATGACTACCCTTACGGGCCAAGAACCTTTATTTTACCTTAAAATCACTATATTCAGACTCCTATGCCTTAAACTATTGACTGGAACATAAACCACTGCCTAAACTATTTTGAGATCATCTCTTATCATTACAGCTTGCTGACTGCAGAGGATTTACTGCTGGCACATAATGGCTGAAGTGGAAACAATCTCAAACTATAATTCGAAATAAAGTTGACTTGAATACCTTCAAATGTGCTATTTTTAATTCTCCATGGTCAAATATATCTTATTACTGATATTTGGGTATTTTAGCTCAAGACTAACATATGGGTATATTTCTATTTATTAATGTTGTGAAATAAACAATGAATTATTGCCTGCATGCTTCATTCAAAATTCAAATTTCAATTTTGAATTCAAGCTAACTTTCTCCAGAAATTAATTTGATTTTTCAATTCCCTTTAGTAGCATTTTTGCAGCCACATAGGCGCAGGTCAGTGAAAATTTCATATGGGTATTACAAAATGCTGGTGGCATTCATTGTCTAACTGGCAGAGAGTGAGAACTCTCTAGCTGAGCAAGCAATACAGCAGTCCACAAGTGTGTCAAGCTTTCGAAGGAAATACTAACAGAGGAATGGAGCCATAAGAATGACTCAAGACTTAGTTTCTAGTCATATTAATTTTCACTCTGAATAAAGCACCCTCACAGAGCATATAGGGGCACTGCAGGTTCACCCTCTCCCAAAACTGGCAGATACTATCCGGAGCCCTGCTCCACTACTGAACACTGTCCCAACCACAGTGCTCGTGGCCTCCAGCCGAGCTCACTGCAGTATAAAGCCATACTACTTGCCTGGCTCAGGACAGTTCAAAGTTCTTGTTTCCAACCTTGGAACTGTATTTTTAATTGTCTTCTGTTACAGCTCTAATGAAGTCTAAGCCCTTGATTAAGAATTACAGAGTACTGGTGATAATCACATACTATGCTGCTATGATCGAAATCAGAACTGCCACAGTCATCCTAGGGAAATGTTAACATCAAAACCCTAGTGTAAAGAATTTAAAATGTGAGCAATACAATGTGAAAGCCAGGCAACAAAAAGTTCACTCATATATTTGCCTTACATATGTAAGATATAATCACATGGGAGACAATCACTTAGTTTTAAGTTTCAAATATGAAAAAGCAAATCCTCACAAAAGGAAAATCAAATATTCCATATTGTGGTGGGTTGACCCTGGCTGGCTGCCAGGTGCCCACCAAGCTGCTCTATCAACACCCTCCTCTGCAGGACAGAGGGGTTGAAAATAACATTAAAAAACCCCTTGTGGGTCAAGATAGAGGCAGTTTAATAAAGAAAAGCAAAAGCCGTGTACAGAAGCAAAGGAAAACAAAAATAATTTATTCTCTACTTCAGATCAGAAGGCAATGTCCAGCCAGTGCCTGGAAGAAGGGCCTCAGCACTCGCAGCGGTCGCTTTGGAAGACAAACGTCTTGATCACGAATGGCCCTCCCTTTCTCAGCTTTTACTCTGAGCATGTCCCATGGTATGGGATATCTCTTGGGTCAGCGTGGGTCGCCTGTCCTGGCTATGTCCCCTCCCAACTTGTTGCCCACCACTAGCCTACCAGTCTCCTTTGGGGCGCGGGTTTGGAGGCAGCCTTGATGCAGTGAGCACCGCGCAGCAGCGGCCGGAACACCGATGCCTCACCCTTCTAGCTACAGACACCAAGCACAGCACTATGAGGGCTGCTATGGGGAAAGCTGACTCCATCCCAGCCAGAGCCATACACGTCTGTGCAAATAAAGTGTTCATGAAGAACTGCTTTTGAACTTACCTAGTTAAAAAAACCTCCTGTGAACTACTTCCTTGTATTTTACACAGCAATTAACAACACTGGGCATTGAGGGCAGAGGGGGACAATGCCTTCCTGAAGAAATGTTTTCTTCCAAATTATTATTGCTATAGATTTTATTCTTTTTTTTTCTTAGAACTGGATGGACTAAGACCAGGTCAAATGTTCATCTGACTCTGGGAACAGCATTCATGATCCTGAGACAAACGAGAGGTTCCCTATAACTGACTGGCCACTCGACAATGAGAAAGGATTTCACAGCAGCCAACCTGAAGAGCTGGGAGGCAGAGGAAAAAAACCCACATTTTTCTCTTTTCATATTTAGCATCTTCCTTTTTCTTTCTCTCTTACACTCACTTTGTGTCTCTCTGCTTTGGTGAGAAGAAAAGACATTTTGAATGCCAAATGAAATTGCTTGTCAGATGTGGTCTGGGCCCCTTGAGTTTTCTACATTCAGACACGGTTTAACACAATGAGACCAAAAATTGGCCATTCTGGTTTCAGAGATTTATATATAAGAGCTTTTGAGGTAATGGCTCCTATAGGAGTAAATACATTTCACATAGTCTGATGTTTATTTAGTCTGTTCATAGAAATAAACTGTGATGGTACAGCAGATTTGTTTTGGTCAGTTTATGGCTGGTATTGTAGTTTTTTAGATGTTGCTAAAAGCTATTAGAAATTCTGTCCTGCTTTACACAATTAAATTGTCTCAAATTTATGTGTTAGTTCACACCTGAAGGGATAATTTCCTATGTTATTCACTGCATGGCTTCGCTTGTTCTGAAAGAGCGCTCACTCCTCACTTATTAAATAATAATGAAAATGCAAGCATTTGTAAAAAATGACACAATCTGATTTCTGTTCCAATGCTAACAAACAGCCTGTGTTATCCCTTGGACTGCGACTGTTTATAGACAAGTCAGCAATCTTTATTGATGACTCATACTACTGTTAATACCTCTGAATTACCAGGTCTGGCTTCTGGACAACAAAGCTTGCAACAATGCCACTGGGAATCGGCATCCCTGAGTAGACTCTGACGTGGTAGCGGGGCAAGTGGGAGATCGGTGCCGATGCCGACAACCTCAGCACTTCATGCTGGGCAGTGCCAGGGATTGATGTTACATGCACTGTGCTGTACCTGGGTTTTCAATCTCAGCAGAGGAAAGTCCAATAGGTTTTATGCTAACTATTAAAAATGGGAAACCTACTAGTAAATCCTCTTAAAAACATTCCTCTTTGCCATCCAGAAAAACCCGTCCTCCAGAAAGTCAAATAACAGCACATCCCTCCTCTACAATCTCTGCAAATTAAGTCTTACTTCTGAAATCAAATTGTTTTCATTCATTTAAGATCAGTGGATTTGTTTTACCTGATCAAATGAATGCTGATGTGTGTGAAATCAATCTTGATATGAGGGATATAATTTGTTACTGTAAGAACTTCTGAGGGTGAATATCATAAAGGAAGAAATTATTTATGACAAAGGACAGTACTAACCCAAGTACAAGCTGGCTACATAGAAATCTGCGATAAAAATCAGATCTTTTACAACAATCAGAGGAATGGTGTTGTGGGCCAAGGATGTTCTGAAACTGGGCTTATGCATGGAAAGGATCAATTCTCTGATAGCCCTTACAAGGTAATTCTGTAATTGCAACAAAAGCCCATATTTGAAACTGATTAATTCCTCCAAAACGCCTCTGGGGTTTTCCCATATACTTCAGTGGAGGATTTCTGTAATTAAAATAATTTCCTTACTCAGATTTTCAAATGAAGTTTTATACCTGCAAGATCTTCTTTGGAGGAAACCAGTCGAGGAGAGCTGTTACCTGGCTCAATTCTTAATGATAATCTGGAAAAACAAGTTTTTAGAGAAATTAACAAAAAAATTTTCTCAATGAAAGTTGAAAGAAACTGAAGAAAGTAATTATTTTGCCAGTGGTGGTAAGCAGGAATTTTACTTTGTTGAAAGTGTAGTTATTTATTTTGTTAGGTAACTAAACAATAAATTTTTTTAAGTAAATCACTACCTGTTAGATCTAAGAAAGAAACTGTGAGGGAAGTCTACAAAAACAGAAGTGGAAATTGGTATTTTATACTCTGACTGTAAAACCATAATTTCATATAGTCCTCACCTGAAAAAACCCCCTCCAAAAATTAGTGAATTTAGATACAAACCTAATAGCAAATATTTTATTCCCTCTGTGCATGAAAAGTTGATTTATTCTTTTACCATATATGTATCATTATACAATCTAGAAAGCACCTGTGGTGTGTGCTGCACTTAAAGGTTCACTGACAGTGCAACAAATGAGTCTTCAGTGCTATAAAATGAGATGACATCACTCTCCACTGGCCATCTCTCTAGAAAATGTGAAGTTATATAATGTTGTTTGAAACAGCCCTTGCTAAGTCTCTGACAGTTGGGTCACTGACTTCAACAATGCCAGAATTCTGCAATATTTTCAAAACAACAAAAATGCAATTTAGCTAGTCAACCTAAGAAAATACAGGGTGTATTAAAAGAACAACAGATAAATATAAGCCTATATTTGAGTTTTGGTAAAGATAAAATATCCATACTGACATGTTTAACAAAATGTTTAAATAAACTGTGAAAAAAAGGAATATATTCTGATAATGAGATGTCATTCTTGGACCATCTTCCCTCCTCCTCCCTCCCTTGACCAGAAGGCTGGAAACAATCAAACTCATTTTTATTTCAAAGAGGAGATACTCATTACAGTTTCAACCAGTCTTGGCTTGTTTGTTACCACCCAAATTAATTCTTGCAATTCCTCTGACACTGCATTTTCCACTGAGAAGCACAGGTTACACTCATGTACACGCATGCTCGTCTGCTCTCACCTTGCTACACCGTGCATACAGTCATGCCAGCAGCATGAGCAGTGTCTCCCAAATACCACTCTCAGAATCTCTGGCCCCTCAGAGGCTTAGTGTGATAAGATCAACAGGTCTGTCAGACTTTGACATCTGATGTGCTTACACCCAACATTCATCATTCATATCCATCACAGACCAAATTATATTCTCACAGCCCACTCTCCCCAGTGATATTCACCAGTATTACTGCAAGTGAAAAACTACCTCTGTTCCAGCATGTCTAATAAACCACTCATAACCATAAAGACACTCTCTTTTTTGTGTTTGCACCTGTAAATGATCATAGAATCATGGACTGGTTTGGGCTGGAAGGGACCTTAAAGCCCATCCAGTGCCACCCCTGCCCCGGGCAGAGACACCATCCCCTAGCCCAGGTTGCCCAAAGCCCCGTCCAACCTGGCCTTGAACCCTGCCAGGGAGGGGGCAGCCACAGCTCCTCTGGGCAACCTGTGCCAGGGCCTCACCACCCTCACAGGGGGGAATTTCTTCCACGGGTGCCTTTCTGGGCTGTGAGTGCCTGCTGCTGGCTCACAGGCAGTTTTCCACTCACCAAACCCCCCAAGTCCTCCTGGGGGCTGCTCTCCATCCCTTCCTCGCCCGATTGCTCTGACCCATGGGCAGGACCTTGCCCTTGGCCTTGTTGAACACCATGAGGTTTGCCCATGGCCCCTCCCCAGACTGCCCAGGTCCCTCTGGCTGGATCCTTCCCTCGGCGTGTTGGTCACACCACACAGCTCAGGGTAGGTGGGAACTCGCTGAGGGTGCCTCATCCCACTGTCCGTGTCCCCAGCAAAGATGTACAACAGTGCTGGTCCCAACCCCAACCCCGAGGACGCCGTTCGTCACTGCTCTCCACTGGGACATTGAGCCAAGAGGACCAGAAAGTCATCTTACAAGTCACTATATTCATCCAACATCCTATATTCATCCAGCACTGTTATTTTTTTTCAGAAATTCTTTTCAAAAACACCATTTCTGATTTACCATGGTGAGGAAGCCTAGTCTTAGTGCAAGGTCTAGGTGCTGATATATGAAATGTCAACATTCCAAAATTATACAGCAAGAGTTCAGCTAAGAGACATGCCAGAATAAATCCTCGTATCAACCGCAAAAACTGCCCGTTAAAAACTGAAATTCCAAAAGTATGGAGTTAGTATTAACAACCTAAGGTGAAACAAAAACTAGAAGTAAAATCTCTAGGAAAAAAAATCAGCATAGAGATTCACTGAATTAACAAACCACCTATTTACCTTTGAGAATCAAGACAAAGCTTTTAAAGAACAAGGCATACGGACAGTTATGTGAAGGATTTGTTCTTGGATAGTTAAAAGATGATGTAAACAATTTATTTTTTAAAGCCTGATACTCAGAATGTTTTCTGGAATGGGATGGTATGCTCTGTAAAGCTGGACCTCTGTCCCAACCTAGTCTTAAATACCACTCTGGTACTGCATGCCGCCATGTAGCTCATTTAAGAATAACCTTCCCAATAAGCAGGAAAAGAGGAACCTAACACAACGCAAGAAACAAAACAGGTAGCCAGTCTTGAACACCGTTCAGTTTCATGAGAGTATGCTCTCCAGTACAGGACGGAACTGCTGCTAGGATAGAAAAGATACTTTTACTCAATTCTCCTTATATTAAGCAAATGAATGAAGAGAGAGAACAGCCTTACATGAACAAGAAATTTAGCTGCTCCATGAGGAGGTTGTACAAAATTTATTCATCTTTCTTGAGACAAGGAAGATCTAAGTTGGAATAAAGCAGTGCAGTCCTCAAAGCTGTCACTCAGGGCATTCCTGATCAGTATTTGTGTACGAAGCAAAATGGGTCTGACATCTGGAACATTTTGGGCTGCCTGTGTAGCGCTTAAACAGTAGGTCCAAAACTTTCTGGAAGCTTCGCTGTCCCCGAGAATGTCCTGTGGAAGAGGCAGCCAGGTCACAACTACAGCTATGGATCCATATGGCCTCTGGAGCACCACAAATCTCAGACTAACGGTAAAGTTTCCCCCTAGCCCTGCCTTTGACAACTCGTGGTAGCAAAGGTCCAGGTGATACAGCTGCCTGAGAGGCTTATTTAAGATGGACTGTGGCCAAGGTTCACTGCTATAAATACTAATATTTTAAGCACCTGCCATACAATTCCTGTCACCATAAGACTAAAACCAATGTGGTGCAGCTGGCCCTTTTATAGCACCATCATTGTTAGGAGTCAGTATAATGTTTTAATTGAATACTATTTTCTCTTGGATGCTTTCACATAGCATCCTGCCTATCCGAATCTAAATTTGAACTGATTTTTTTATAAATCATCTTACTAGCATATTGGAATATCCGTATCTTGCCTAATATGCTGTGAAGAACTGAAGTGTAAGTATAGATGGCAGCCTACAGAATGGATTCCAATCCCGATGGTCCCGTCCAGACAACACTGTATCACAAAGAACAGCCTTCAAATGGGCTTTGCTCAAAGAACAGCTGTGGATTATACCAGGCCTGACCTAATGATACCAGGTCAGCCAAAAAAACTGTTTTGGAATCGCTGCAAGGCGTGGCAGGTTAGGAAAGGATGTGGCAAGGTGCTGCTCAGGGAAAAACTCCACACCTGGGGGCAAGCGCTCTCCTCAGGTCACCTCTTACACTCCTGGAGGAGGAAGAAGATCCTGCTGCAGCTGCATCATGGTATCTCTGAAGCACAATGGCTGCTGGTGATGTCATGACATAACAATGATTAGCAATACATGTTGGGTATAACAGGAAGAAATCCTGACGATTTAGGTCCCATTGTTGCCCCCTTAGTTTTGAAACTAGATAATTTCTCTGCTTTTGCAGAGAGCAGTATATGGGCTCAGCAAGAAAGATCTATTATTTTTAGGATATGACATCATTGTCAGGGGTTTTCTGGAGTGTTCCTACTTGCTGACAAGCACGAACTTAAAGCAAGCAATTGGGCTGGCACGAAAAATTGTAGAGAAAAGCTTTGTTTATATAAAGTGGCTGCCAAATTTTCCTTTTCAGTGTAATTGAGGTTCTTATTTGGTGTAACATGTGTTGGGATCCTGCCAACACATTTTAGGGCAACTGTCTAAGCTTCTCTCCCTGACAGCCTGGTACTGAGATAGTTCTGTTCTCCCTGCCAAAGGTCAAGCACACATCTCTTCAGAGCACACTAATGCTGTCCCTGGCTCAAAAAGAGCAGTCACTGGAAAGAGAGAGGAGATTCTTTCCCACTACAAAAAACTTGCCTTTTTAAGGCTTACAGTTTCTTCTGGCATGGGACCAGAAAATGCTATGAAACTGAAGATCCATTAGGGAAAACTGAGAGGAAAATGGGAAATCAATATTCAAAACAAAATCCAAAAACTTCTTATCAAATACAAAGATGGAAGAGGAATGAGAGTTCTCTTTAAGGGTAGTTGTGATGAGTTCTGATGAATACAGACTCTAATTTAAAGCTTTATTCTGATGAAACATGGTGGAAAAAGGCCAAAGTTCTCCAATGTATATAAACTGCAGCAACTTTACTATGCTAAGAATCAAATCTTTCCCTCTTTTTAATACCTCTTGTGACTTCAGCCCAGTTTTTCCTTGCCATAGTGAAGCCTTGCAAGAAAACTGCTAAATTTGATTGAAATAGTCTCAAAAATAACTAAAGCATTATCATAATAACTCCTGCATTATCAGCAAGGCTGCTGCTGAAATTAAAATGATTTTCAAATTTAAACTGGAATTACTCATGACTTGTAGTTTTTACAAATACTATGTTATAGTATCATACACTTACAGAAACCACTTGTTTCACGACATTTTTTTTTTCCCCAAATAATTTTCCTACAGAAACATCACTATTCTTAGTATCTGCGATCAACCAGACACAAAAGCACAAACCTATCAAACCATAACAAAGTATGACCTTTTGCAATGAACTACCCAGTGCTGGTTCAGCTTCTTTTGCTGAAGTTTACCCTAAGCAAGGGGACAAATCTTGGACATGTTCTCCCTATTTGAAGCATGTCCTGATAATACTCAGAGAAGTTCCAAAAGAATACCTTGTATGAAAGGGTTTACTTTTAGAATTATTCTCTCAGGAAAAGCAAAGTTCCACAGACATTTACCACCAGGGTGCCTCTGGGCAGATCTGGCTGAGGACTGGTGCAGCACTGCCCGCACAGCGCCCTGAACCAGCGCCACGTGGGACCGCTCTGGCAGCTGGAGCTACCACCAGCTGCAGTTATCTTCAGAACTGAAGAGACAAAGTGCTTGACTAGTGCTACACTCAAACATGGCTCTTTTGTCTCTGTTATGGTGACACCTTTTTACCCTGAGCTGCCTCAAGAGGAGTTTGCATCTGCGTGCCAGCAATATTGGCTCCAACTGCAGAGAAATGTAGAATGGTCAGGGTAGGTCACTCCTTCTCCTCATACGTATGTGAACTCCACGCTGGCAGTACACAATCTTCTGATTCACTGAACCTGCTCTTTCCTTTTCACAAACACTAACTGGTAGCTTTCACTTCATTAACTGATCAAGTTTCAACTTAAAATTAATTACTTGGCTTGCTACTCCAATTAAGAAGCTGTTCCAGAATTCCCTTACTCTGATGATTAGGAACCATATTTCCACATTTAGCTTCTAAATTTTTGTATTCATTTAATCTTGTGCTACCATTACAATTTAGTTTAAATTGCTCTTTACCCTTCCTATTTTCTCCCAATTGTGTTTATATGTAAGTGATTCTGTTACCTAAACTCCTCCTTTTCTAGGCTAAAGCCAAACCTAGCTCTTTAAGCCTGGTATTACATGATCAAGTGTTACTCACCTGATTGCACCAGAAATTTTTTAAACCCACTCTAAGCATGGATGGCCAGAATTGCATACAATACTCTGCATAAGGTCTCACCAGCTCCTTTTAAAGCAGTATTAATAATTAATTTTTTACAGAAACACTGTATTTGATAGGGAGTAGGGATGAATTTGTATTTTCATGGCTGTATCTCACTTCTGACAGACATCTACTGATCAATACCATGAACTGTTGTTAGAATAAATACGTAACATTTTGATTTTTGAGTCACTATCGGTTCAGTCATCAGAGCATCTGATTATTCTTCCTTTGTGATATCCAAATCATCTTCTACTTCAATGAACCCTTCTAATACTGTTTTATTAGCATATGGTCTAAGTGCACACAAATTCTGAAACAAAGTTCTTAACTGAAGCATTTAATAAAACTGTTAACAAGACTTTTTAGAAGAAGTTCATTAGCAACCTTGCTCTCCAAAACATATCTAAGATCCTTCATACCACGATCACAGTACTGAGCATCTGGTTGCCTTGAGTACTTTTAATTCTGTTCACCTAAATAGAGGTACTATATTTGTCAATACTTAATTATATAGCAATACCTTGGTTATTTAAAACCTTGGCTGCTTGACCTATGATTTAATGTGCCAGTTCTTTAAGAACTACTGGCCAGGGATTATCACTTCCTTTAACCAGAGCGTGTTCACATATTGACCAATGTGCTCCATGGTGTCTGTTTCACACCACTGTGTGGCTTTGCTCTCCTCCACCAATTCTGGAAGCACTGCTTTAACGTGCTGAAACCTCTGTCAGCTTCATATCTTAAGTACCAGCTTATTAAAAACAGTAACTTGAAATTGGAAGATGTTTTTAATGTGTTATTTACAACAGCATCGAGTCAATCCTGGACATCTTGGAGGTGACTTTGGGGTTCCTGAACAAAATTCCCAGAATACAACTGTCATGTAACAGAATAAAGACTAAATTTTCATCTGCTTTTAACTTTTACAGAGGTACTTAATTTTGGAAATCTAGTTAGTCATAAAAGAAGACACTCTGGCATCCTGGTATTATAAGCTCCATTAATAAAATATTAAGAACAATAGACAAACCCCAAAACATCTTCAGCCAGTGGCTCTTTGTTCAGTTCTTAATCAAACTAACAGTCAAGTTATCTCTCCACCAAATTCCCCAAAACCCGAAGAAGAGTACTTACTTATAATTGTCATCTTCTACAAATTTCTGAAGTTCTTCAATGTAACGGACAGACTTCAAATACTTTTGCACATGGGGCAGTGTTGTAAGATGATCTGTGGAGCGTTCAAACGAAAAAAGACGAACATTTGCATTATACAAAGTGAATTATTCTTTCACATTTTTTTTCTGGTTCTTATGGTTATCTTAATGGAGGCAGAGAATTTGAACCTTGCTGAAGAGTAAATCAGGCAGAAACATGACTCTAAGAAGATGTTCAATATTCTAGTGACCAAAAGTGATGCTCAGTTTTTTAAGGAAAACACAGGTGCATTTCATCATGATGAAAGCTGGCGGATTTCATTATATGCTTTCTCACAAGTGGAAAAGACTTATTTGCTGCAAACCCTGCTTGACTTTTATGCTCACTGTTCTGGGGGAAATTAAAGCCTGCCGCCATGGCTGTTAGTGATTCTCACATGAACGTGAAGAGACTTAACAATTACAATGCTGAATACTAAGACAGACAGACATTTAAGTTCAGAATGATGGAAAAATCCTTTGACGCAGGATCCTAATGGACAGGAACATGCCTTGTAGTATCTAACTTCATTCTTATGCGCTCGTAAAGACAACTGTTTTAAAGGCACCCATTATTCTTGAATATTGTTTCTTCAAGGCCATATTTTAATTTCCATTCTGATTTTAACAAGAGCACTCAAAATTAATGTGTAAGAATGCAGGAAGCCGCCAAACTGTAAAAGGAAAGGGGCGGTGAAATCATGAGGTTTGTTTGTCATTCAGAGTATTCAAACTCAAAATAATAGAGCTCACAATAAGAACATGGCAGCTGAATAATCTAGCTTCTCAGAATCATACCATATTATGCCTAGTCCTTACCTTTAAATACTTTGTGATACCGAAGTTGACCACAAAGGACAGGGGCTGGATAGTTAAGCATACACAAGTCATTTCTCACCTCATTTTCTCACAATCTAACATTTAATTTTTTTCTGGTCAAAACTCCCCAAAACTGTAGCATTTAAATATTCAGAATGCATTTAGTTGTACAGCTGCTCACAAGGTTTTCCAGCTGGTTTCAGCTGAAGCAATGACAAGCGACGCTCAGTCGCTGCCCCGGTTTGAGCGCGCGGCGGGGGCGGTTACAGCGCCGGCCCCTCGGAGAAGCTTCTCGAAGCTGCCCCGGCTCCAGGCCAAGGCCAGGCCAATCAGCTGCACCTCTACGATAATGTATTTAAGGAGGGGGACATGTCATCAGGATACTAACAATGAAGTGACACTGAAATGAACACATTCACGCTCCAAAGACACTGTACCTGCTGCAAAGGGAAGATATTCTCTCTGACTGTCTCTGGTGGAAACAGAATATAACCCAAATGCCATAGCTGTACTTGGAAGCATGCAATTTGTAGTCTACACGTAGCAGTCAACTCTGCACAACTTCTGTTCCAGCTCTCACCATTTAGAATACACATCTGCCCAATTTATCAGGAAAGTGAAACTGCACAGAAGTGGAAGCTGCATCCCTTTCTAGCGTTCAACTCTACCAATGTTCACCTCCTGTGTCGCTGTTAAGAAGGGCCAAAACCCACTTCCACAATGCTGTACTAAAGACATTTTAATTAAGGCTTAAAAGGTATAACAAAATTTACCAACCATAGTTACAGGAGACTTGCAGATCAGCTATTATTCGGAGAATATTGTTCATTTGATTGGATCTTTGTTCATTCTCCATAATGCTGCCTGAAGCGGGATATGCAGAATCAATGTAGATTAAATCCAAGAGATAAATTCCTGAAACAAACAAATCAATCGACCAACTGATCAAGTGTTTCAAACATAAATAATTGCATAACTTTTAACAAATGTAACAGCCAGCAACTATTTACCCCCCACTGTGGTCTGGGACCATTAAACAATGGAGAGCTCTGGATTTGTACCTTGAAAAATTTCATAATTAGAGCTTGAGTTCTGTGACACTTCTTAAAAAAGGACAGAAACTATTTTGCTCATGTGCAGTTATACAGCCTAATGTCCACAGTGAGCCGCTTGCAGGACCACAAAGACACTGAAAAAGGAAGTGGCAGGTGCCAGGAGCCGCTGAGTGGTCCAGGCAGCCTGCAGAGAGCTGACGGCGCACAAGGGCCTCCAGCCACCACGACCAGAGCTGAGCACTACGCTGTGGTGCCTCCTAGGCCTGCCACTAGGCTCTACTTAGTGATTAGTAGTGCCTGTTCTGGCTGAGGCTGCAGGCTGCATTTGCTAGAAGACAAAAGGTTGTGATTATGTCACGACTTAAAAAAACATGAATAAAAGGGTCTTATTTGTGAATTTTTTAATCAAAAAAAGGGCATAGTTGTTTACCTAAGCCTCCATTTCTCGGTAAATACAGAAAGATACTGATTATTGTTTTTGCCAAAAATGCTGATTGTTCTTATTTGTATTGTGCTTTTCCAAAGCACTGGCTGACTAGACAAAATGTCATTTTTTGTTGGTAAAGAAGCATATTATATACAGAAGTCACGTCGCAAGATGTCAGCTATCTTCATCATCAGAAATATACCTGTGTCTAGTGTCTGGCAGGCAGGTATTTTGCAGAGTTAGTGTCTGATGTATGGTACTCTAACCTTTACAAATTATGTAAGAAAGAAAAAGGCAGGCTTAAGGCTGAAATGAATTCATACAGCGTAACATTTCTTGAATGGTTCTCAATTACTTTTAATCAACACACACCATTCAGTTTCACACATATCATTATGGTTTGTAGGGGGCTTCTTTTACAGGCCTAGAACAGTTAGAAAGCAATCACAAACACATGGAAAAATACTGACTGGGAAGGGCATATGATACACAATCATCAAGTTCGAAATGGAGTCATCATTGAGATTGCCTAGAAAGTTTTAGTTTTTAATTCTGGAAACCTGAAAGATAACTCTGTAACAGTCTTGCAAAATTCATAAAAGCTACTATGAAAGCCTAATGCATGCTCACCGATTTACTTCAGTAACTCACTGAATGCATTTCAGTGAAGATGAGGAAGAGTAACACCCACCTTTTTTGAGAATAATCAGTACTAGTATTTCAGTTGTATGAATGCAGGGAAGGAGGACAGAGGCTCTGCATGTGTGTGAAAAATTAATTTATTTTAGGACTTCTAGCTTTACAAACATTTACACACTGCAACGTGGACCAGGCACCTTACACATCAGAACGGGGGAAAGAGCCCACACTGCCACAGTACTGGGATGGCTCCGTAGCACTCCGACATGGTGTAAAACCAGTCCGAGTCACCTTCTCCGTGACTGGGAGATCCCACCTAGATTTAGATTCCATACAGCAGCTCTCCCCTGTTTCCTCTTGTCAAGTGGCACATCAAAATGTAGTTAGAGTAAAGGCTGTAAAAATTCTATTTGCTCAGAGCTTCTACGCTGCAATATGCCTTATGTCAGCTGGGTTCAAAGCGACTTTCTAGCTATTTTGAGCAAGTTTGCAGCTATTCCCATTCATAGCAAGGGTATAAACACCTTCTTGATCTGTATTGGCACTTGTAGGCATTTCTTCAGGACAATAAGTAAATTTTCCAGGACAATACACAGATAAGGACCAACGAGATACATGAACAACAAAAAGTAGGGGGTGTGTGTGTGTGTGTGTGTGTGTGTGTGTGTGTGTAGCATGAGTCCTGTAAATTACAAATAATAAAAGTACAAAGAAATGGGCTTTTTGGGGTACTGGGGTGCAGGAAGAAACCAAACTGATGGATGCCACTGAAAAATTAAACTGAATGTAACACGCTGGAATGTAACAGAACATATTCTTTGTAAATACATATTAAGCTGAGTCTTTTCAATGGTGCTCCTCTCCCTCCCTCATTTTAAAGCAAGAATGATGATTAGTTTCTTATGATTTTTTTTAAGTGTTGCCAGCCTTCATCTGGGCAGTGGCATTATGTACTCTTCTGTATGTAAGATGTGACAATAGGAATCGATGAGAATCAGTTTATTTTGCTCAGAGGAATCACTAAATTATTCCCTTCAGCAGAAGACTTTAAGACCCGCTTCTCAAAGGAAAGGCTCAGGCTTGCCATATGCCAAAGAAAACACACAGCACTAGCTTTTCAAACCTTGGCTTACATTTGTGCTACTGTGCACTGAAAAAAGCTCTCTAAGATGTGAAGCCATCAGGATATTTTCCAGAGGGTGAGCTCATGGGCAGCTGCTTCCACAGGCAAGACATTTTCCAGTGATACTGACTTGTCTCCATTGTTACTAGAACTAATTTTGCAGCTGGATATTGTATGCAGATGACACAGTGTTCATTAGTTTATGGTATCATGGAAATAATAACACAGACTAAGGAAGAGCATGGCCAAATAATCCTGAACTAAATTTATCAATGGAAATCACACTGTGTAAAGGGGACCGATTATTTTGAAATTGGCAAGTAGGACTGTAATACCTAGCTCTTAAATTTTTATTGCAGAGCTCAAACAAACCAGTAATATTACCGACAGCTTAAAGACAGGGAAACTGAAGTACAACAAAAAAGTGACCTTGAAACGTTGTACTCAATACTACCCAGATCACACATTCTGGACGCTCCATGCACCAGACAACAACTTCCAAGGCTAAATTTTATTGATAAAGTATTTATGGAGAACTTCAATGTTCAGCAGGATGCAAGCCTAAGTCTGTATGTTTGTGTCTTGATTCACAGTTAAGCCCCTCCTATTATTTCCTTATTCAGTACCCAAGGCTTCTGAGAAAAAGAAAATAGCACTGAGGCAGATATTAAATAAGAATACCCCGGAGCTGATGGGTACTAACAACATGATCTTAATAAAAATAAACACAAACTTCCAGAAATCAGTTGTTATTCAGCTTCATCCAATTCTGATCAAGCTGAGCTCAAGCATATAAGCTTTAAAATTTTCATGAACAGCTATGGTGTGTGATTTGCTCCTTGTTAAGACAGACTGACATAATGTGCTATGAAAGACAAAATACTTTCAGTCCAGTAGATGACATGTAAAAAGTTATACCGATGAGAACAGCTGGGATGGTATTACTTTAAATTGCAGTAGCAGAAACAAATGGAAATCCGTTTTTTGAGGCATCTGCCTGGAATTCAGAAAACCCAGGTTCAAACTTTCTGTTCTGTCACAGATTTCTTTGACCTGGGCAAGTTATTGTTATCCTCTATTTTCCACGAGTTCAGTGAGAGAGAGAGCATTTCCCTGTCAGAAAGACCTCATGAAAATAAATATTATGACCAGCAAGACTTATCAAAAGTGGGGTTTAAATTCCTTATATAAAATAGGTAGCAATGTGCAGCCTGTAGAAATAGCAGCACCATTTATTCTCAGCAATTCAGAATTTCAAATCTCTTTTGGGGGTTTACAACAGTATGCAGGCACAAGCAGTAATCCAAAATTTACAGTACCTACAATTGTCTCACAAATACACACTGTTGCAAAACTGACTGTAAAAATGCTGTGCAGACAAAGCTTGAAAACTTCATCATTCTCAACTGTGTCTTCTTTTTTTTTGTTTGTTTTTCTTTTTTATAATGGATATAAAACTATCTGGTGAAATAGTAGGGCTAAAACCCCCCCAAATTAAGTGGTTAAAGCACACCTCCACTGTATACTTGACTCATACTGCAGGGCACAGTGCTCTGCTAAGGGTCTGTGCAATTCTGCAAATGCAAATAAGTTAGAAAACAGCTGCTGTATGGAAATTTTGTTAGTCAGACATTCACTACGTTGCAACAAAGAATAATTAGCTGATGGGGAAGTATTTCAGATTAGCCTGGGGACTTCAGTTTGTTATTCTTGCTTAACATTTTGATCAAGGACTGTAGTAATCTTTCACATTTGTTTGGTAAATTGTACTGTTACTGCGACAACCACGAACACATGCTATAGGAGGAGGGAAAAAAAAGTGACACGTTTTGTCTCCCTATCACGTACACTTTCTAGAGATATTTACAACCCACAAGGCCCTGAACACACACACATGCTGCAGTGTAACCTGGACATCTGTTCTGTCCAGCTATAGAGCATTCCTTCAGTACAGGAACCACTGGCTACAAGACATACTGGCACTATGTATAACAGAAGGCAACCTATGGAAAGTAATCATTTACCCTTTTTCTCCCCAAAAGTTAAATAATGACACTGGTTTGATAGGAAAACCAGAAGAGACAAAATTATGTTTCCAATTTGTAGTCAGCTATGCTTATGAAAGCCTTTTCCCACACACAGTAGTGTGGTTGTATCATACTAAATAAAGCAGAGGACTGAGAGAAAGCAACTTATCAATTAAGTAAGTGGTAGAAAGTCCAAATCACTACAGTCAGCAGTCTGTAAAACCAAAGACACCATTCTTAGAAGATTAGCTCATAGTCAGAAAAGCCAACAGTTTTGTGGTATCATTGGTTTCAAGAAGACTGGATATTTTCCATGGACTAAAGGCTGGAAAATTTTTCTACAAAACCAAATGTATATACTGGTTAACCTTGGTAGGACTTGGAGTACTCTAAAAACAACTGAAGAGAAATCTCTGCCAAGGTAACAACATGTGATTTGTAATACGTATTGCCGGCACGGTGGCCAAGTGAATGGGATCACTCACAGGAAAGTAAAAGTGGGATTACAACCAGGTTTATCACTTCTGTCCAAGACCAGCCAGCCAGAACACAGCACCAGTATCACGCACACGCACAAATGAAGGACTGTAGCGAGGTCAAGTCAAAAAGACAAAAAAAAAATCCCCCAATTAAAAAAGTTTTGT